GTTATAAAAGATTGCTTCCTGGAGCAGTTAGTTCTGGAACTTACAAGAAGACAGGCCATTCTTGACCTAGTCTTAAACAGTTCACAGGATTTGGTGAAAAGGGTCAGTGTCACTGAGTCATTTGGCAATAGTAACCACAAGGCAACTGGGTTTGACATCCGTGTAGGAGGGGAGACATATCTACACAGTGGGTGCGTCTATAAGAGATGCTAACTGCACAGTAGCTCATTACTAGCGTTGCGCTGCATGAAGCAACACTACTGTGCAGTAGTAACAAGCTACTGCATAGTCAGCATCACCTGAAAGCCATTTGGTGATGCTACTCCACAGTAATATGCACAGTCATTTAGTACTTGTGTATACTAGTACTAAATGATTGGGCACTAACAGCTGCTCAGCCAGCATTTCATATAGACATGGTTAACATCCTTTAACTTTAAAAAGGAAGATTACATCAAAATGAGGAAGCTAGTTAGAAGTTAAAAGAGGTGAGGAACTTGCAGGAAGCATGGGAACTGCTTAAGAACACCATATTGGAGTCAGAGAGCAAATGGATACTGCAAATAAAAAAAGAAAAGAAAAGTGAACCAAAAGAAAGCCAGGATGGTTTAATAGCACAGTTGCAGAGGCAATAAGCAGAAACAAGGTTTCTTTCAAAATGTAGAAGTCAAATCCTAATGTAAAAAATAAAAAGAGCATAAACATAGCAAAGCAAGTGTAAAACTGTAATAAGATAAGCTAAGAGAGAATTTGAGGAGAAACTTACTAGACACACAAAAGATGACAATAAAAAATTATTTCAGTACATTAGGAACCAGTTGGGCCTTCAGATGATCAGGGTGTAAAAGAAGTGCTCAAGGATGTCAGAGCCATTGCTGAGAAACTAAATGTATTCTTTGCATCTGTCTTCTCACTTGGTCCACTCCTCTCCAGGGACAAGTCAGTGGAACTGACCCAAATTGAGGTTTCAATAGAGGAGGTCGTAGAGGAAATTGAGAAACTAAACAGTAGCAAATCACCAGGACCTGATGGCATTCACCCTAGGATCCTTAAGGAGCTCAGATTGTAAATTGCTGAACTCCTAACTGTAGTATGCAACCTATCATAAAAACAGTGTCAGTACCAGAGGGCTGGAGGGCTGCCAACGTGACTCCCATATTTAAAAAAGGCTCTAGAGGGGATGCAAGGAACTACAGGCCAGCAAGCCTAATTTCTGTTCCAGGAAAACTGGCAGAAACAATGATAAAAAAAAGAATTGTTCAGCATGTGAGTGAAAATGACTTGCTGAGGAGGAATCCACGTGGCTTTGTCAAAGGGAAATTATGTCTTACCAACTCAATAGAATTCTTTGAGGTTGTCAACAAGGGTGGACTGGGGGGGATTCAGTTGACACAGTATATTTGAACTTCCAAAAAGCTTTTGACAAGGTCCTCCATCAGGGGCTCTAAACTAAATTAGGTAGTCATGGGATTACAGGGAAAGCCCACTCATGGATTAGAAATTGTTGTAAAAATAGAAAGCAGAGTGAGTATTCATAGTCAATTTTCAGGATGGAAAGAGGTAAACAGCAGGTCCCCCAGGGATCTGTGCTGGAACCAGTGCTGTGTAACTGATGAATAAATAAATGATCTGGACAGGGGGGTAAGTAGCGTGCTGGCCACTTTTGCCAATGACACACAATTATTCAAAGTGGTAAAGACCAAGGCCGACTGTGAGGAACTACAGAAGGATCTGGCACGACTGAGCAAATGGGCAACTAAATGGCAGATATAATTCAATGTAGGTAAGTATAAAGTGAGGCACCTGGGCAAAAATAACCCCAAGTATACCTACACTATAATGGGTGCTACATTAGGTGTTACCGCGCAGAAAGAGGTCTGGGAGTCATTGTGGACAGTTCATTAAAAACATTAGCTCCATGCTCAGCAGCTGTCAAAAAGGCAAACCAAATGAAGAAGGGAATTGTAAACAAAACAGAAAGTATCATTATGGCTCCTTATAAATCCATGGGGCATCCACACCTTGAATACTGTGCCCAATTCTGGTCTCCACACCTCAAAAAGTATATAGAAGAACTACAGAAGGTACAGAGAAGGGCACCAAGAAGGATTAGTGGTATAGAGGTGCTTCCATATGAAGAGAGACCAAAGAGGCTAGGCCTATTCAGTTTAGAAAAGTGATGTTGGGGGTGGGGGGGATGTTATAAGGGTTTATAAAATAGGAAATGGTGAAAAGAATATACATTGGGATTTATTATTTACTGTCTCTCGCAGTACAAGAATTAAGCATCACAAAATGAAGCTAGTAGGTAGTAGGTTTAAAATGAACAAAAGGAAGTTCTTTTTTCAACAGTGTGTAATTAAAGTGTGGAACTCATTGCCACCAGATGTGGAAACTGAAAGTTTAGCCAGATTCAAAACGGGATTGGATAGAAGGCGCATTATTAGCTACTGAGCATGAGTTAGGTGTATAGACTCTGAATCTGAGAACTTAAATCCTGGAGGTTGCAAGTGAGAGAGGAGGAGGCAAGGGGGGTGCAGGAGGAGAACCCCTAGTCATACCCACTTCATTCTCCCTTTCAGCATCTACTCTCTTCCATTGTGACACAGGATACTGGGCAAGCTGGATCTATGGTCTGACCCAGTAAATGTCAATTCTTATGTTTTTATATATCTTTTCTTAAAAAAAGAATGATGGTATATTATATCTCATACAAATTATAAGGGATTCCAGCCAATGCCTATTTACCCACTCTCTCCACAATGATAATGAGAAGGAAAAAAACTTAATATTCACACATAGAAAACATTCATTTATTTGCTCTGGATAAGACAAGCGAGTAGAAATTTTCAAAGCTTGTATAAGTGCAAGTTAAAGGACTGGCAGATGGCTCTATCCTACTTTTCCCCACACTGGAAGTGTGGAAAACCCCAATTGCATCAGCTGCAGTGCAACTTCACTGAAAACACGGTAGGCCAAGAAAATGAAATGCAGAGGCAGCTGTTTCTGTGAAATAATCAAATATGATCAAAGAAAGTGTAAAGTCACAGCTGGCAGGTTTGAGATTTTAAAGATATAGTCAGATGTAGTAGTTTCTATTGCAACCAATAGGCTGAAATAGCTGTTATGCTGTTCATCCCCTGGTAGGTGGATGAACAGGGATCTCCTAGTATAAGGCCTCTGTAAGACAGCTTTAAGTTGGAGGCCAGAACTCAGGCCTTCAAGCATACACTATTCTCAGATAAAATGAAAAGCAAATAGTAAATTAGTGTGAGGAACTGAGGACAAAACAAGGATATAAAGAAACAAAATAAGAGATGGGGATGGCTACAAAATGAGACAGACATTTAAAAATATCTACAGTAGTAAATGAGCACACTGTGTATTTTCACGTACTAATAAGAGGCATTCAGCATAAGAAATAGCTACAATGAGAAAATGGCAAATACGATATAAATTACAAGGCTAAGATGAGCATACTAATCTTTAGAATTCTACAAAGGCAGACCAGATGTCTTCACATATATTAAGCTGTACTATATTAAGCTGTTTATTCTTTTCACAGTAAAATATTCTTATTCTTTCATAAGCCAACCAGCATATTATATATTTAACAGGGTATCAAACTTACAAGGGGAAAAGGTTTAGGATGCTTGGAGGCTGCTTGAAGTAATGGTTTTGGTCTGACAAGGTTTCTATTTGAACCTAAAATAGAGCAAGGCACTTGAATTTCTACTGGTTCTGAAACCTGGTTGACAACTGCGCTGTAGGGATAACAAGGCTCTTATTTTTTATATTAGTGTCAACACAGAGGCCTTACCTGGCTTCTTCCTATTTGCTGCTACCCACAATGTCCAAGAATTGTTAGTGATCCAAAATCTCATCTTGCATACACCAAGAAAAAGTCTTTCTACCATTGTTATTGCAAATAATGGGAGTCTCATCACTGACTTGAATGGAGGAGGACTGGAGCTACATTACAGGTGTAACTAAGACACAAACGTGGCCCAAGGGGACTGATTCTCTTAATCGAAACAGTTTTACACTGGTGTAACTCCGCTGGCTTCAGAGTTGCTCCTACTTTAATATAAATTAAGAGGATAAGGCCCAATGCCCTTTAAACTAGGCTTCCACACAATAGTTGGGGACTGTTAACGCAAAACAGGATTCCTTACTGAATCAGTGTAAGCTTTAGCACTAAGTAGATACACATCTGCTATGCTGGCTTCCTAAAAGGTATATGAGAATGAGAGCTCAATTTATTCACAGATGGCTCATTAGAGAAAATATTAACAGGCTCAAATCACAAGGGAGACTGAGGCACTGAAACACTCTGTCTGTCAAACTCAACTTTTAGACATCCTGCTGCTTAGTGGAATCAATAGCCCTAAGCAACATGCCCTTTCTCTTTATACAATGCATGGGAAGAGTTGGGCCCTAAGCATAGGATTCACAGAAACCAGCACGTTAAGCACAGTGCTGTCTGAACTGCTGCATAGGAAATGGTGATGAGAGGGGTCAGGCTTAAATCCCACTCTTCTGAATCTATATTCCAAGCAAAGCAGAACACCTTCAACAAGTAGGTTGTCTGAAACTACTCATCCTGACACAATACTACAGAGGCTGGTGGTTAGAACGAATGACTGGGGGTACAACAGGTGGGTCTGAGTCCCTTCAGCTGATATCTATTTGGTTAGGGATGCCACCACACCTTCTTTTAGCTGTCTTTTAATCATGCTCTGGTGAGACAGACAAAGGAAAGTCCATCTTGTAAATTTTGATGAGTCTTAGGCATGAACTGGACCCTAGATGCTCAGCTTTGTTGACAGTTAGGTAATTGTGTATATACATGCCCAACAGCTGCAGCATAGTCTCTAGAGGATTGTATCAGTGAAAAAGTATGTGCTGAGGGACTTAGGTAAGGCTTTGTGACTGTCCATGATTCCCTAATATTGGACTAGACCAGGTAATCTAAAGAAAACACATGACACACAACTCACCTTACAGGAACAAACAGAGCACCTGTCTTCCTTCAGTGTCCACACCTGACCATTTCGCTTCAAGCCACCTTCATGTGGGCAATCCCCAGTGCAAGATGGTCCTGATGGACACAGACAATCAAAACCACCTGCCAAGTTCACACAGGCTGAATCATTCCAACAGGTGTGGATCCTTAGGGCACATTCATCGATATCTGCAAAACACAGCCAATTTATAGTCTCTTGGAGATTTGTTTCCAGTGACAAATTGTTCATTCATTATTAAACAGTTATTGCTTGTCTCCCTGGGTTGTTGGAGGGTGTCTTCCTCCTGGTATATTCTGTATTTGTTGGAAACAAAACAGAATTACTATGTTCTGTTATGATTCCACTAGTGACTCTTGAAACCACTTACAGTATGCTCATTTGTAAATGCCGACATTCCTAGTAAAGCTATACAGCAATGATGAACTTGAACTGCCAGGGAAGGTGCTTCTAGTTAGCAGGAACTGGCAGACAGTTAGAATGACTCTCTGCCAATTAGGCCACCTTCTGTTCTGGGTTTTAGACTGAAATAGAAAAGCACCATTCTTCATAAGCTCCTAGCATGATCAAAGCTTCCCCAGACTAATGACAAGCAATCACTACCCTTTCCATTAGCTGGAAAGAAGAAGAGAATAAAAGGAAAGGCTTCAGAACACTTTCTATAGAAAAGAAATCCTCAAGCTCTGGAAGTATACAAAATCATGTAGTAAAAGTGAGGTTCAGCAAGGCAACAAAGATTTTAGCACCAACCATTGAAAAAGTGAATATTTTTCCTAGGTGATTTTAGGAACTACTTAACTACTAAATAATATGATGCATTGCTACACAGAGTTGAAATTGCTGGCAGGTGATTATTGCAGGTGGGAATTTCCCTGGGACCCCAAGGATAACACCCTTCCTTTTATTAAAAAAAAATGCCATGAAATCATTTTGCTAAGTCAATCTGGAAAACAGCTATGTTTCTCTAGAAAATCTTTATCAGAGCTCTGTTTAAGAAAATGTTTACAATTATAGTGCAAGTGAATATATAGCTCTTGTTTCCATAATGTACATTAACAACCAAAAGCCTAATCAAGGGGGGGAGAGAAGTTTATTTGGATGAGATGAAGCATATTTTATAAATGGATGAATACATAAAAATGCTTTTTAATGTGTGTGTGTATATTTACATATAACTATGAAAATATAAATTGGAACAGATAGTAAAATCTCATATAATATTTTTCACTCTGAAGAACACATTTATACAAATATTACAAATTATGCAGAAGAATCACAAAATGTACCACTTAAAATGCAGCGACTTCTAGGTTGAAATATGCAACTATTTAATGGGCAATAGTTAAGTATCACACACCAATAGTACTTAAGGTTTAAGAAAAGCAGTGGAGAATATAATATACATTATTACATGGAAATTATGGTGTTAAATTTCCCAAAGATGACATGGCTAGCAACCATGCTACTTCTGTGGCAAATGCCATAACCTCTGAAAGTGGTCAGAAGTTTGGATTAACTTTTTTCAGGGGTAAAGGGTGCCTTCTGAACAAGTGATACAGATGGAGCTTTAACTGCATCACAAATGGTACTTCTTAGAGCAGGGTGTTAAAGACACCAACCTGCAGAGTCCCATCATCTGGCCCCCTATGTCACCCTTAGGTCTTGCACTGGATCCACACGCTGCACGCGGTTTGTGCTGGACCAGTAGCCTATGCTCAATGTCAGTTCTTGCAGAGGGCTGGTCTGGGGTACCTGTGGCACTCACTCTGGACCAGTCCTGCACACTAGGTCCAATATGTGAGATTGGTCTGTGGGCCTAATGAATAAATTATTCCAGTGGGTCATATGATCTTAGTGCAGGGGTCAGTAACATTATTGGGCAGAGTGCCAAAAACACCTGCAACCTCGACTTGTAAGATGTTGGTATGCTGGGGTGGACAGTGGGGAAGCTCTGAGGAGCCTGATCCTTGCTGTGGCAGTGCAGCCCTGGCCCCTTCCCTGCCGCCCACCCCAAGGTGCGCATGCCAAGCAAAATGTCTTTGCGTGCCATACTCTGGCACCTGTGCCAGGGGTTGCCTACCCCTGTCTTAGTAGTTTGAATTCCAAAGTCACTTTTTGTATTTTACTCACGTAAGACGTTTTACATGCATAAGGTCTGAGTAAACAATCAGAAACATGTTCAGAATCTGGATTGATGAGAAAAAAGTTTCCATCATGCAGGTCAAGCTAGCTAGTTATCATAGCCAGGATAGCAAACCTCTCAAACTGGCTATTATTTCACATTTAAATTTACAGGTGGTGGGGATGGACTGGAAATGCCAAGCAACCTGCTGGCCAGCGCAGCTGAATCAAAAATATAGGCCAGCAGCAAATCGCTAATCCTCCCTTCCCTTTACCTCTCCTACCCCAGAATGAAGATGAAGCAAAGAGGGAACTGTGCCTTTGAGTGTCTGGTGAGCACAGAGTCTGCTGGACTTACTCCTAGGTTGATGCAATTTACATATCACATCTTATTCAACATTATTTGACCCTTAGACTTCCTACGCACTACTGTATTTTTCTGCCTTATTTCAAATACATGAAGAAATATATCTCCATGTGCACACTTTGCCCCCATTAGTTTTCTTCCCATCATTTTTTTAATAAATAGGTTATCTAGAAGGGGCCATTGTACGTGGTATAAAAGGCACTTTATGATTTGAAATCAAAGCTCGCGGTCTATTGTTTATCAGGTGCCAGAGTATTAAAAAAAGAAGAAAAGCCTCAAACAATGACATAAACAGAGCCATGGATATGGAATTAGTTGTTTCAATGGAAGATGATAACCAATTAGCCATTAAGGAACTAAGAGTATTCTTTAAAAAACTGTGTGCTATTTATCCTTTCACTAGACCTTGACTTGTATTTTATGTTGAAAACAAATATACAAATGCAGCATACACTCTGCCGTTGGTGATTTCACATTTAATAGATCCAAGCATTGTCAATATTTTCTTCCCTGCAACAATAAGGCCTCCCTAAATAGCATATGTATAATATGCAGCAGGATTAGAGTTCAGATTAGAAGAGTAGGTTTAACAGTTCAAAACTAAAAGGATTTCACAGATGAATATAGAGCCATATTGCCTACACAGTTCCATGTAATTGCTTTACTTATGACATAGAAAACTATTTCTGCTTCCATGCAATTTAACAGATTTATGGAAAGCCAGATGTTAGCAATTATGGAAACTGACATTATTCATAGTCTCAGTACTACAGACCTGTTTGCACTGCACAAAACCAACTTAATCTATTATATGTAACCAAAAGGGAAGAAGCACCCTATTTACTTATAGTAACTGCTGCTCTCTGTTGAGTGCACATAAAGAAGAAGCCCCACTGAGAATTGCCCAACCTAGCAAGCAGGCCATTCATGAGGAAAAAGGCAATCAAACAAAAGCCAAGTAACATGTACTGTTTGCAAATTTTTGGGCCTTGTTATACATTAATTTTAGGTGCATGCTGGAGCTCTTAACCCCCGATTTTCCAGACATTAACACCTGAAATTAGTTTTAAGCACGCTTTAGGGTGCTTAAAGTTATGCCACTCCGGGGAAGGTTAATTTCTGATTCGTGTTACCAAGCTCATGTTCCATTTATACGTGGCCACTCCCCACAGATGGGCCACCCAAGTTGCAGTCATCCAACATCCTAGGACATAGTTTCCTCTCCCCCACCCTCCTGTTGTCTGTGGAGGCTCTTCCTACCCTGTGAACTCTACTGCTAAGGGGGCAGTTCTGGCACCGCACCAACTCTCCCTCCTACTCCTGGGGGAGTGACCTTCCCATCCACAGGGGTGCAACCCCATGCAAACAGCCTGCAGAGCACATGCCAGCTAGCCAGGTCACAGAGCATGGATGGATCCAGGAGTGGGATCTAGGGGGGGTCAGGAGGAAACAAGCTAAGGGGACAGATCAGGTGCCCATAAGCTGGGGTTTCTTTCCTGTGCCAGGGGCAGTAGCTCTCCCAAAAGTGCCTTTTCATAGCTCTCACCTCCCAGCCACCCTGGGAAGCATGACCAGCACCCCCCACCCCAATCCCAAATTATTAAAATTTTTAAAATGTTTTTTATTAATTTTTAGTTTATCCTTCAGAGGCTGACTTCCTTCATTTCACCATCCTTTCCCCATCCCCATTTCCTCTCCACCTCCCATTTCCTGTCCCATCCCATTAATTCTTTGCCTCCTAGCTTCTTCATGTTCCCAACCCCAACAACCCATCTCTGACACCCCCCTCCCCTCCTAGACCAGCGATATAAAGTTATCCTGGCTCACCAGCTCTATGGTGGCAACTCACACCTGTAGCTCTTAGTTAGACTGCTGTTTACCAGCCCCCTAGTGACAAGTCACAGCTGTGCAGATGGGGGACAGTCAGAGGCAGTTTTTAGCCGTAAGATATGACTGGTCCAAACTCAAGCCAGCTTTAACACCAATCAACATTTGAGCAGCTCAAACTGCAACACGTAACAAAGCCCTTTAATCCTAGATCATTTGTCTTCTTTCCCTTCCTTAATACAAATGAGGGCTCCCTATTATTTTACTGCATTTATTATTTACATGTTTTAGTAATTAATCAAATGTTAAAGGGTTGGGCATTGCACCCATTCCATAACTAAACTTTTAACAGACATAATTTTCTTGAAACAGTCCTTGGGCACATTTCTGCTATTACTGGCTGTAGTTCTCAGCATCAGAACCAATCATGTACACTGACAGTAGCAAAGTAATATTTTCCCTTTTTCGCCCTTTGGACCCAAGATTGAGGGTATTTTTAAAAAGCATGAATGCTTGGTTTTACATTCAATTAGCTCACAAAGCTATTCCACTGTAAGTGAATTCTAATGTAATTATACAAGTATATACAGGATGAGATTATAAAACACAAATTTGAAATATAAATGAAAATAGTCCTATTTATGACTAAACCTCTTTCAAAGACTGGTCTTGCTATGTAAGCCACAGCAAACTGCCCTGATTTCTCTGCTGCTATGAATTGGCAATACTTTGGATTTTGGGGTTTTGTATCAAAGTAATTTAAGCTATCTTATAGGTACTTATTTAGTCCTTATTTTGAATTATTTTAATTCATTTACTAAAAACACTTGGGGCCTGATGGCACCATGGCATGCA